AAAAAAAAAAAAATCCTACAAGTGCGAGAGACCTAAAAGCCAAGAATTTATTTTATTAAAAAATTGGGTATTTATTCTTACATGTTCAAACTTCAGTCACCTCCAAAATACTCTTCTTTTGATGCAATACACCTATCGAGACGCTTTTACCACTGCTCAAAAAGAAGATGACATCATCAGTTGTGATGTCTTTTAGTGCTTCTGCCAGTTTTGGTTTCACCTCTTCCACATCGGCAAAACGTTTCCCTTTGAGGACTTTTTTCATTCAGGGAAACAAACACACAAAAGTTGCTTGGGGCAAGATAGGATGAATAGGGAGGACTGGACATGGGAGGTCATGTTGGTTTTGGTCAAAAACTGCTGAACACTCAGCATGGTGTGGGCGGGCACTCTCTCTCATAAATCACCCATCATAAAATGGGCAAACTCATTGAAAGAATCTCCAGAAAAAATGTCACTGAAGTCGAATGCAGCCTCTCCCAACAACACTACTGGCACACTGATGCCGATGGGTTTCTAGAACACTGACCTAGCGGGGAAAGCCTGCACTATAAGGGCATGCCTTCAGAAAAACACTTCTGGGTTTTTTTGGTCCCCCTCACGCATAAGGCACTTATCTAATTATGCCTAGGTCCAAGGTACAGCTTGTGGCCATCAGAAAACATCCAGTGAACATTTCTCAGAAATTCAGCATGTGTCCCTATGAGCTCCCGCTTGCTAGGCCTGCCTTCCAAAGATGCGGTTCTTCTTCCCAGGAACCTGCTGATAGGGCTGACAGCCACCTTGACTTTTTCTAAAGTGTAAACTGAAACTTATGACACAGCAACATGAAAAGGAAAGGAATTTAAAGAGAGCACTGCCTGCCTAAGAGCTGGAGAGAGAGGACTCCATCTGCCTCTGGCTGGCTGCCTCTCCTCCCAGGCCTCAGGGCTGAGGTGCTGGCCCGTCTGTGCACACCCTAGGTCCTCTGCCTCTGTGCCCCGCCGAGCCTGCGTGTGTCTGCCCAGAAGCAAAAGCTGGCCCCCTCCTGCCCCAAGAGTCAGAGACCCACCTTTCCCAGTGCAAGAGAATGGAGTAAGAAGTCCGGATGCCTGACCCTGGGACTTTCCAGTAGTGGCCGTCACACCTCTCAGCCTCACTTGCAACTTGGAACAGTCACGCGGCACAGTTCGAGCCAATTGGCTACAAGCAGAATTCGCTCGGTGGCGCCTCTCAGACGTGGCTGGCCAAGATCCTTTGGGTCCTCTGCTCTTCTCCTTATTCATGCTTGAGATGAAGCCAAGATGGCTGGAGCCTCAGCAGTCATCTTGAAACGACGAGGAGGAGGGAGCGTCACACCCCCAGGTCAAGGGAAAGCCAGAAGGAACTCGGGACCCTGAGGACTGCCGACTTCTGGGTCTCTTTGGGGTGAGCAATACTCATAAGAATGAAGATGTTTAAGCCACTGTGTTTGAGGCCTCGGCCAAGCAGCCTCTGACTACAGCTCCTGACTGAAGAGGCTGACTGGGAGGAGGAGGAGGAGGAAGAGGAAGAGGCAGGGGAAGAGCCGAGTCAGCCACAGCCTGGCCCACTAGCCCCAGCGTAGGCAGAGTTGCCTGACCTTGGAGTTGGCACTGGTCGCCCACGGGCATGGCAGGGCAAAGATGAGATCCAGATACCCCGGTGTGCTGTCTGGGCTCAGCCTGATGGGCAGGAAACAGAAGGTCTTGTCCTCCAGCGGGGGATGTCTGCCTTTCCGTGCTTCTTGGCCATGTTCTGCCAGTAACCGAACCCCGCTGAACACACTCACACTGCCACAGGCACACTGCTGCCTTCAATCTGCTAAA